ATCTGAATTTTTGTATGGACTCACAAATGGATACGACATCTTCTGTGCAAAGAGATGGAGGTAGAGCTCTGAGAATCCTGAAGAGGGTGATCCAGGAGTGTCAACTGGTGGATATTTGGAGAGTGATTCATGGAAAAGAGAGAGAGATTATACCTTCTTCTCTAAAGCACACCAGATGTACTCCAGATTGGATTATATATTAGTAGATCATCAGCTTATAGATTTGGTGGATAAAGTAGAAATTGAGGCGATGTCTTTTTCGGATCATGCCCCTGTTTCATTGAAAATGAGGTGGAGTAGACGATTGACAGGAGGGATAGGTTGGAAGCTGAACGAGGCTCTCCTCCTGGATCAGGAAGTGGATCAAAAAATTAGAGAAGAGATTGAAAGATATTTTCGAGAGAATGAGACAGGGGAGGTATCGATGGCTACAGTGTGGGTAGTCCCATAAGGCTTATATAAGAGGTATCCTGATTGCGTCTGGGGCAAAAAAGAAAAGGGAAAGAAGAGAAAAATTTACTGGGCTGTTAAAAGAAATAGCTGAGTTAGAGCAAATACATAAAAATAAAAGATCAGAAAAGATAAAACAGAAGGTGATAAAAAAGAAAGAAGAACTAGAGCTATTGCTGGAGGAGGAGAAGAGAAGAGTCTTTAATAAAGTTGCAAGTGAGAGATATAAATGGGGAGATAAACCAGGAAAATATTTAATGAGAGCTTTGAGGAAAAAGAAAAATAGAAATTATATTGAGAAAATAAAAAACCCCAAGGGGGAAATGGTTTACTCTACTAAAGAGATCATCGAGGTGTTTAAAGAATATTACAGCAAGCTATATAATATCGCCTCCCAAGACCCAGTAAATATAAATGGAAATGAGAGAAGAGAGAAAAGAAGGGAATATTTAAAAAATGCAGGTTTACCGAAGTTAAAGTATGATCAACTGAATTCCCTTGACTTGGAAATTACACAGGAGGAAATAATAAGAGCATTAAAGGACACTCCGACGGGGAAAAGTCCGGGCCCAGATGGATATACAGTGAGATACTATAAAAAATACAGTGACCTGTTAATACCCAAACTGAAGAGATATATGAACGCCCTGGGAGGAGAGATGGAGGTGAGAAGGGAATCTTTACAGGCCCATGTGGTGCTGATACAAAAGGAAGAGAAGGATCCCTCTCAGTGCTCTAGCTTTAGACCGATATCACTTTTGAATATAGACATCAAGCTATATGCTAAGGTCCTAGCAAATAGACTAAAAGGTCTCATGCCAGAATGGATTCAGGGGGACCAGGTGGGTTTTGTCCCGGGGGGAGGGAGGGCAGAGATAATGGCCTAAGAACTCTGTTGCTTATCCAAAAAGCTAGAAAGGGGAAAACCCCAGTAATAGTACTTTCGATCGATGCTGAGAAGGCATTCGATAGAGTAGATTGGAGTTTTATGATGGATACCCTGGAAACTCTAGGAATAGGAGTAAGAATGAGAGAATGGATAGGAAAGCTGTATAGAGAGCCCTCAGCGATAGTAATGGTTAATGGAGAGAGGTCGGAACCTATCAGAATGTCAAATGGAACTAGACAGGGTTGCCCATTATCTCCATTGTTGTATGTATTGGCATTGGAACCATTATTGGCAACTATTAGGAAGAACTTAGATATAAAAGGAGTGCAGATTGGGGAAGTCGAACATAAAGTAGCTGCCTATGCGGATGATCTTTTGTTTTATGTGGGAAATCCTAGGATAACACTCCCAATTCTAATGAAGAGCTTAAAAGAGTATGGGGAGTTATCAAACTTGAAAATTAATCCAACCAAAACTGAGATCTTGAATGTAAACCTTTCAAACAGTGAAAAAGAAAAAATACAAAAAGAATTCCCCTTTATATGGAAAAATAGAGAGATAAAGTATTTGGGGGTGAAACTTTCTGCCTCATATATAAACCTGTATAAATTAAATTATATCCCACTCTTAAATGAGATTAAGAAGGAACTAAGAGAGATTCGAAGGAGGTAACCCATCCTGGATAGGCCGTATAAACCTGATAAAAATGATAATTGTACCAAAAATCCTCTATAAATTTCAGATGATTCCAATCAAAATTCCGGAGGCCTTTTTTAAAGTAATAAAAAAGATGTTAACAAAATATATATGGAAAAATAAAAAATCCAGAATATCATATGACTTGTTAAATAGAAATAAAGAGAGAGGAGGCTTGGGAGTGCCAGATATTAAAAGGTACTATAAAAGCAGTAGTCTTAGCGAGAATCTATGATTGGACATATAATTATGAGGGGAAAAAGTGGGTTCAGATTGAGAATGAACTAAGCGGAGTTACCTTGAAGAGAACTATTTGGGCACCAGCACAATATAGGGGGTTAAAAGATACCACGAGTGTTTTTACATTAAATGTTTTTAATGTCTGGGACAAATTGCATAAATTTATGAAATGGGATTTTAACTCACAACTAATACCACTGAGGAATACGGATTATTTTCCCCCAGGCAAGGAGGAAAGTATAGGGAAATGGATTAGAAAAGAAGATATCCAACTGAGAGACATAATGGATGGACAGGAATTGAGAACACTTGGTGATTTGAAAGGGGATAAAAGGGAACTTTTTTTTATTAAAATAGATGAATGGAAATATTATCAATTAAAACACTTTGTCAGAAACCTCCCAAGACCGTTCAGATCGAGAGAGGATTGGAACGGCTTTGAGAGGTTGTTAGAAACACGAGGTGATGGTAGGCGAGGCACCGCAAAAATTTATAAAATCCTCACTGAGTTAGACACTTACACAAAACCAATGTATATAGGTAAATGGGAAAGAGATTTGGGAATAGAGATTGACGAGGATAAGCAAAGAAAAATATACAGATTAATACACGAGAATATAAGTATGAGAGAGGTGGAGGTAAATTACAAGTGTTTAACGAGATGGCACATCACACCGAACATTGAGTATAAGATATGTGGGGAAAATTCACTAGAGTGCTGGAGGGGATGTGGAAAAATAGGCACCTTATATCATATATGGTGGGAGTGCCCAAAAATTCAAGGTTTCTGGGAGATGATCGTTCAATTAATTGAGAATATCTCGGGGATAAAGATAGGACTGAACCCAGCAGTATGTCTCCTACATAGTACAGAGTTATCAGTAAATAACTACAAGGATTCGGGTATATGGTGCTATTTAAATGCGGCGAAGGGGTTGATACCTAAGTTTTGGCATAAACCAGAGGTGCCGAAGATAGAGGATTGGGTGGAAAGAACTAATCAAATTTATAAGATGGAGAGACTGTGCTATATGCAGGAAGACAGGATGGGGTTGTTCTATAAGAGGTGGAGAACATGGGAAGAATTCATGGTGAAATATATGAAGTAACTATGTGAGAAAGATAGAAGGATTCGTACCCTATATTCACGTATGAAGAGGGATAATAGAATTATGCAGAGTGGGTGGGTTTATTTTGGGGGAGGGAGGTTTTTTTTTTTTTTTTTTTTTTTTTGGTGGGGGGGGAAATTAGATAGTGTGGGGGTGGTAATTGGGAATAAAGATTGATAGAAATGTTATTAAAGATATGCAAATTTGTTTGTATGAGAACAATGATGAAATGTGCAATATATATGGAAAATAAATAAAAATTTTTAAAAAAAAAAAAAAATTTGAGAAATAAATGTAAAGCTTCAATAATCAATCAATATTTATACTTTATAAAAATAATCCTACAAATACATTACTTAAAGTAGTTGTAAAACCTCACATGTACCCAGCAAAGTGACTAGCATTACGTGATATACAGAGATAAATAAATCCTACATAAGTTGTAGCTGTGTATCTGCAGCTATGTCTTCTGTAAAATCATTCTGAAAACTCAAACAGCAAAGGATTTCTCCTTAGCTGAGCAGCAGGGGGTGGGGATCTGAAGTCTTCAAAGAGCCATCACCTCTGTGCCCTGATTGGAGAGAAGGGACACCCCCCCCCCTTGTGAATGTGAGTCACAGGCTAAGTGTTGCAGCTCCCTCCCCTGTCACCTTTTTAAAGTGGTTGTAAAGGCTCAGATTTTTACCGTCATAAAAACCTTCTGTGTGCAGCAGCCTCCCCCCCCACTTCCCACCTAATACTTACTCAAGCCCCATCTAATACTATGCGATATACATAGTATATCAGTAGTTTCAGCTCTCTGGGGACTCTCCCTCCTCACTGGCTGAGACAACAGTGGGAGCTGCTGTCAATCACAGCCAGTGTGCTAATGAGTAAAGGGAGGGGGCAGGGTTGAGGTATGGCTCTATGTGTGAATGGATATGCAGAGCAGCGGTTGGGTGCCACATAGCAAGCTGCTTGCTCTGGGGGCACTCAGCAGGAGGGAGGGGCAAGAAGCGCATTTGGAGGACCCAAGAAAAAGAGGATCGGGACTGTCCTGTGCAAAACTACTGCACAGAGCAGGTAAGTATAACATGTTTATTATTTTTTAAAGATTGCCTTTAACCGCTAGCCTACAGGGCACTTATACCCCCTTCCTGCCCAGACTAATTTCCAGCTCTCAGCGCTGTCACACTTTGAATGACAATTGCGCGGTCATGCAACACTGTACCCATATGAAATTTTTATAATTTTTTTGTGACAGATAGAGCTTTATTTTGGTGGTATTTAATCACTTCTGGGTTTTTTATTTTTTCTTAAACAAACCGAAAACCACTGAAAATTTTGAAAAAAAAAGTTTTTTTTTAGTTTTTGTTATAAAATTTTGTAAATAAGTGATTTTTCTCTTTCACTGATGTGCGATAATGAGGCTGCAGTGATGGGCACTGATAGGCTGCACTGATGGACACTGATAGGTGGCACTAATGGGCACTGATGAGGAGGCACTGGTAGGTGGCACTGATGGGCATTGGCAGGCATCACTGATGAGCACTGAAAGGCAGCACTGATATATGGCACTGATAGGCGGCACTGATAAGCGACACTGACTGGTACTGATAGGCGGCACTGACTGGCACTGTTAGGTGGCACTGACTGGCACTGTTAGGCGGCACTGACTGGCCCTGATAGGCAGCACTGACGGACACTGATAGGCAGCACTGATGCACACTGATAGGCGGCACTGGCTGGCACTGATAGGTGGCTCTGATTGGCAGCACTGATAGGCATTGATAGGTGGCACTAACTGGCACTGATGGGTGACACTGAAAGGCAGCAAAGATGGGCACTGATATGTGGCATTGATGTGGCACTGATGGGCACTGGCACATGGCACTGTTCAGCACTGACAGCTGGCACTGATGGACACTGACAAGTGGCACTTCTGGGGCCACACTGATCATTAGGGCCCTGATGATCAGTGTACATGTTCCCTCCACGGAATGCCGATTACCAGCTCTCCTCTCCTCTCGAGCTGTCAGCGTGACAGCTCGTGAGAAGAGAAATGCCGATAACCGGCATTTCCCTGTTTACATGTGATCAGCTGTGATTGGACACAGCTGATCACATGACCGAGCCGACTTCTTCGGGTCTTTCCATGGATCGGTGATCCACTGTGTCCAAGGGACACAGCGCACCACCGATCGCAGTGCTGAGTGCTCCCTGAGCCGCGCATGCGTGGTGAGAATGGGAGGACGTCATATGATGTCCTCCCAGAACGAGAGAACCACCTTGCACCCATCATTGGACTATATGGTGGGCGGGAGGTGGTTAATATCACTTTAACTCTTAGGGCTGGTTCACACCATGCCCTGTGCAATTCATATGCGGTTCTGTGCAGTGCGATTTTCAGCCCATTCATGTTGAATTGGCTAAAATCGATCTGCACCACACCAAAAATAGTGAATGCACTAGTTTTTAAAACGCACTGCAAACAGATCGCATGGTACAAAAGTGCTATAAAATACCATGCAGGCAAATGGATGATGTTTACAACTTGTGTTTGGGGTCTCGTTAGCTTTGTATTGACACCAGCTACAGATTGCAAATGAAGTGCATTTTGCATACAGTTTGAATAGCACAGGAACTCACAGTGCAGGCATGACCAGAAATGTGTGGACTTGCACAGTGAAAACCAGGCACAAGTATGATATAAATAATGTGATTTATTAACGATAAAGCAAATAAAACAATAATATAAACTACATCCAGTATACCAAAACCCTAGGAAACAAAAGCAGTGAATCTAATGAATGAAGTGCCAACAGCGAACAATTTACATAAGCTGATAAATAACTATTTACAGGCAAGAGAATAAAGCTGAGAAGCTTAATCAGTGTCAGAGCAAGAGTCATGGGCAGGAGGTTAGGTAGAGGGATCAGGGAACAACCCATGACACAGAGGGTACATGGAAACAGGAACAAGCAGGCAGATACAGGTACAGGATGAGGATTAGGATGCAGGTAAATGGTGCACAGATCAGGGACACATGGGCAAAACACAAAAGCAAAGAGCAGTAGCACAGAAAGAGCTAAGTATCCTCCCAGCAATCAGGTGATGACTAATCAGTAAAAGCTGCTGAGAGACACCTGCTGATGTACAACATAACTACAACCTACAGGTCTGGGAGACACAATGCCACCAGGTGAACCCATTCCTGACACTTGAGAAGGCAAAAACACAACGTTGCCTACAAATTGTGAAGAGGTTTCCTTTGAAGAGTCAGTCTGTTTATTCTTTTTTCTAATATTGTCTGTATGCAATCTAGTTTGATAAGGGTCTCTTTGAGGTTAGGACATATTATTCTCAATAAATCCAAACTAAGAGTTGTGGCCAGGTTTCTCATCCAGGCAGGTTGAGAGGCTCCAGGGAGCTTTTGTCCCTCAGAGGAAACTGGTTTTCAGTTGGTAAAAGCTGGTTGGGGACCTGGAGCCCAGATTTTGTGCAGAGATCTGGGAGGGTTGGCATCTCCAATCCTGGGACCTGGTTTTTAGAAACACCAGCACACTAATTGGACAAGTGTGTACTGAACGTTTAGGAGAGACCTGACTAGGGTTCTGGGCTCCACCCTGGCAGAAGAGGTCTCTGCCCAGGAATCAAGAGGGCTCCACCTAGGAGAGACAGGTGGGAGCCAGAGCAGCATAGGGCTGTAAGTTTTGTGCAGAGAGTTTGTGAGATTGTCTGAAGAACACAGACAAACAGGGGCCTAAATGGTAAAGCAAGAATAGTAGTGCTAAATGTTTAAGCCAGGAGGCTGAATGTCATTTGTTTTTTTGATGGAAGAGCAATGCTGAAATCCCCTGCAAGGGAAACTTGTCGATTTTGATTTCTGGAACTGTGTTTAACTTTTTGTTTTAATAAAACTGGGCAAGAGAAGCCTTTAAAAAGAGTAATTCAGCGAGTGAATGCTTCCTTAAAGCTCCATCCTTGAAGGGAATTCCCATGAAGTATAACAAGAACTAGCAGAACCAGTGTCCTCTATAGTAGTATCAGCAGCAGTTATCTTATACTGCAAAATATTTTGTTTAACTACAGTCCCACATTCCAATAAATTATTCAGCTCTGCAAATACACTCCAGATGGAGTGAAACACATTAAAGGATAAGTTAACCTTTGGGAATATGTTACATGTTCCACCCATTTTTAGGGGGGGGGGACATGTAACATGTTCCCAATGCTGCAGCCACCTCCTGCTACCTCTTCCCTTTGACAGAAGAACGGGAAAAAGTTCCCCATACTGTTGAAAACAGCATGGCTGTGCGAGGTGAGGCCATACGGCCACGTCATTCATTCACAGACTTCTGTGAATGAATGAACTGCAAGTCCCGGCATCCGTTGCGGCTGTCAGCTTGTACTTTTCAATGAACTACCACAGTGCTGTGGAGCACCGTAGAAGTTCATTGAATCTTCCTGTCAGTATATCTGTTTGCTCGTATATCCTGTATGGGCAAGCACATATACTGACAAACCTGCAGGAGACCTTCATTATTATTATTATTATTATTATTACTACGAGTTTATATAGCGCCAAAGGGTTTGCTCAGCGCTGTACAATAGGGGGGACAATACATGGCACAGTACAACAACAACAAACAACGTACGAGGGGTAAGAGGGCCCTACTCTTACGAGCTTACAATCTAGGAGGGAGGGGGTAAAGGTACAGTAGGAAGTGGCTGAGGGGGATGAAGTGGTGGGAGGAATGAGGGAGGATGGCCGTTAGGTGAGGGTGGGGTAGGCTTCCCTGAAGAGATGGGTTTTGAGGGAGCGCCTGAATGTGAATAGGGAAGGCGACAGTCTGATGGATTGGGGGGGCAGTGAGTTCCAGAGGATGGGGGAGGACCTGGAGAAGTCCTGCAGTCGTGCATGGGGGAGGAGGAGACCAGGGAGCAGGATAGAAGGAGGTCCTGTGAGGAGCGAAGGGTACGGGTAGGGTGGTACTTGGTGATCAGGTTGGTGAGGTAGTCAGGGGCAGTGTTGTGAACGGCTTTGTAGGTCAGGGTTAGGAGTTTAAATTTGATGCGTTGGGCAATCGGGAGCCAGTGGAGGGAGAGGCAGAGGGGGGTGGCAGAGGTGGAGCGGGTGGTGAGGTGGATGAGTCTGGCAGCTGAGTTCAGGATGGTCTGGAGCGGGAGAGCCTGCACTTGGGTAGGCCAGTGAGGAGGGAGTTGCAGTAGTCAAGGCGTGAGATGATGAGGGAGTGTACTAGACGTTTGGTGGTGTCTGGGGTGAGGAAGGAGCGTATCTTGGCAATGTTGCGAAGATGGAGCCTGCATGTGTTTGTGAGCGATTTGACATGCGGTTGGAGGGAGAGGTTCGCGTCAAGAATGACGCCAAGGACTTTGGCTTGCGGGGCGGGAGTGATAGTGGAGTTGTTGGTGATGATGGATAGGATGGGGGGGGGGGGTGTTGGCAGGGGGAAAGATGAGGAGCTCGGTTTTGGAGAGGTTGAGCTTGAGGAAATGTAGCGACATCCAGTCTGAGATGTCATTTAGGAGGTGAGTGATGCGGGCGGAGATAGTGGGGGTGAGGTGAGGGGTGGAGAGGTAGATTTGGGGTGTCGTCAGCATAGAGGTGATAGTTTGAAGCCGTGAGATTGTATGAGTTTGCCCAGGGAGGAGGTGTAGATGGAGAAGAGAAGGGGTCCAAGGACAGAGCCTTGGGGGACCCCAACAGAGAGGGGGAGGGGGGGGGAGGTGGCACCATTGTAGGTGACACTGAAGGAGCGTCGGGATAGGTAGGATGAGAACCAAGAGAGAGCAGTATCTCCGATGCCAAGGGAGAGTAGTTTATTAAGGAGGAGGGGGTGGTCAACTGTGTCGAAGGCCGCAGAGAGGTCCAGGAGAAGGAGGACAGAGTAGTCGCCCTTGGCTTTGGCGTTGAGTAGGTTGTTAGTGATTTTGAGGAGGGCAGTTTCAGTGGAGTGTAGGGGACGGAAGCCGGACTGTAGAGGGTCAAGGAGGTTATTGTCTGTAAGGTGGGCGCTTAGGCGATCGTAGACTATGCGTTCAAGGAGCTTGGAGGTGAGTGGCAGCAGGGAGATGGGTCTGAGGTTCTTGGGGTCCACGGGATCCAGGGAGGGCTTTTTGAGGATGGGGGTGATATGCGCGTGCTTTAGGGGGGAGGGGAATACGCCAGTAGAGAGGGAGAGATTGAAGATGTGGGTGAGGGAGCGGATGAGGGAAGAGGGGGGTGACCGGAGGAGTTGAGAGGGGATAGGGTCCAGGGGGCAGGTAGTGAGGCGGGCTTTTGAGAGGACTTTGGCGACTTCCTCAGTAGTGACAGGGCTGAGGGAGTGCAGTGCGGGGGGGGTTATGGTGGGCGGGGCATTGGGAGAGGAGGGGGGCAGTGCGGTTGTGAGGGCAGAGGAGGGGGGAGATGAAGGGGTGACGGGGGCGAGGAGGCTAGGTGGGGAGGTAGATTGCAAGTTGACGATGTCCTTACGGATAGCGTCAATCTTGTTGTGGAAATGGGTGGCAATCTCGTGGGCGGTGAGAGAGGTACTGAGTGGAGTCTTGGGGAGAGCAGGGAGTTGAAGGTGGAGAAGAGTCGGCGGGGGCAGGAGGAGAGGGTGTTTATTAGGTTAACAAAGTAGGCCTGCTTGGCGGCGTGGAGGGAGGAGGTGTAGATAAGAAATGCAGATTTGTAGAGGGAGAAAGTATAAGGGGACCTGGTTTTGCGAGGGGACCTTCATGGCACAAGCGATCTGTCGATTTGCTGGTTCCATGCTTTACAGGTTACTGCAGACAAAAATAATAAATGCACTTTTTTTACCTGCAAGAAATATGCATTTATTATTTTTATGCAAAAGGCGATCCTATCCTTTAAGCTTGCACGATCGTGTACAACAATCTGTCCAATGGATATTCTAATAATGGAATGCAAAATATGTGGCGAGCACTGAGTATTAAGAGCTGCTAGCATAAAAAAGGGCAAAGGTAACAAAATCCACAAGAACTAATATATGTGGAAGTGCAATGCTAAATATTAAATACCGTCATAAAGTGTTATGGTGAAAAATGTGAATACCTGATATTATTAACCATGTGACAAAATCTTAATGTATTGCACATATAACCATTCAAAATTAAACAAATGTCAGTGGTACTACAAATCACAGCAATACCAATGTGATAAATA